CCCCAAAACCCCAAAACCCCTGAGTATAAGTAATTTGGATTAAAATTGTTGTGTGTGGCTGGTTAAATAAATTCATGATTCTATTATGTGTATCACAAATCAAAGAGAATGTTCTTTGGGTCTTCAACACAATCTTTAATTTTTCTTAAGAAGAGAACAGCTTCTCTGCCATCAATAATTCTGTGATCATAGGTCAAAGCCACGTACATGATTGGTCTGGCTTCGATCTTATCTCCAACGCATACTGGTCTATTTTTGATGGCGTGCATTCCGAGGATAGCACTTTGTGGTGGGTTGATAATTGGGGTTCCCATCATAGAACCGAATACTCCTCCATTAGTAATGGTAAAAGTACCACCAGCCATGTCTTCAAGCTCTAACTTGCCATCTCTGGCTTTGTTACTCAAGCTGATCAATTCCTAAAATGTAAGTTTCAATAAAATAAAGCATACCTTTTCAATTCCGGCATAGTCAAAGTTCTAACAATTTCTAAGAACTGGGACAACTAATCCAGTTGGAGTTGAGACGGCAACGCTTATATCAATAAAGTCTCTGTATACCATATCATTTCCATCAATAACTGCATTAACGACTGGTTGTTCTTTCAAGGCAGCTGCTGAAGCTCTTACAAAAGCGCTCATAAAACCTAATTTAACTCCATGCTTTTTGGCAAAAGCCTCACCGATTTCCTTTCTGATGTTCATAAATCCACTCATATCGATTTCATTAAAGGTGGTCAACATAGCGTTAGTATTTTGAGCTTCCTTTAGTCTTTATGCAATTCTATTTCTCATTCTGCTCATTGGAACTCTTGTCTCAGTTCTTGATCCAGTGATACCAGTTGGGGCCTTTTATGCCTTTTGCTGTTGTGTAGCTGGAGGAGTTGATTTTGGAGCAGAAGTATTGGTAGCTGCTGGGGCCTATTTTTTAGGCTCCTCTTGTTTTGGTGGAGCTGCTTAAGCCTCTTATTTCTTTGGTTATTCTACAGCCTTTTCCTCCTATTTAATAATTAATATCTTAGAATCTAACCTTCTTTGGGGCTGCTTGTGGTGCCTCTTGCTTTGCTGAAGCCTTAGCCTCTGGATCGATTTCGAAGAAGTTTGCATCAACAGCGACAGTGTCACCCTCGCTTGCGAAGTATTACTTTATCAATCCAGATTGAGGTGATCTTATATCAACATTTACCTTATCAGTCTCAATCACAGCTACAATCTCATCTGCTTCCACGTATTCACCCGGCTCTATAGATATATTTAAGTTCACCTGATGCTATGAACAATTCTATTGGCGACCCAAAGAGATTAGGTGCTTTGATATTTATTCAAAGTTGATAATATTTATGATTTCAGTATCACTTACTCTTTACAAAAGTTTAAATAGTTCCCTCTGAAATAGAGTCTCCCATCTTGGGAACCTTAATGACTTGGACTATTGAAGTTTTTTAAAACGTAAAAAGAAACTTACCAGCAAACCATCTTTGAGCACTGCCATTCATGAAAAGTTTGTTTCCGAAAGCGTTCTAGATTTACTACTAGAAAGATGATTGAACTCCAACCTTTTAGAGGGCCTGGCAAGTTAGTAAACGCTTAGAGAAGTGAGTGAGATACGAAGATTGCATTTAATTATAAGATTTCTATAAATTTAATCTGAATCATTAATATACTGATGATGCATTACCGTTGGGGTTTTGGGGTTTTGGGGTTTTGGGG